TTATCTAGATCTCTCTGCAGGGCCTCTCTACACTCCAGAGCGTCCTCAGCTCCTCCCAATTTGGTGTCATCAGCAAACTCTGTCAGCAGTCCTCCCATCAGGTCCCATTGACTTGTAGGGATCCAGCTGGAGCCGCAAATCCTACACAAGTTCAGGGCTGGTAGGAAGTTTATCATTCTCAGAGTCATGTCTCTGTAGCTCAGGGCTCTAGGGGTTCCTGTGCCAATCCTTGGTGCTGAAGACTGAGGCGAAGAAGGCATTGAATGTCTCCACTTTGTCTATATGTTTTCTGCCTCCTACTCAAAGGCCGTTTCAAAATCTCACTGCCCTTTATAAGAAAACATTCAAAATTCCTACATTTATTCCTGGCCATTTTTTACCAATGCGTCCTTCTTCCACCAACAACTTTCAGCCTCTGCATTTTTCACCCCTATCTTGCCTCCCCATAGCCTATATTTTGCCAGGCTAAATAAGCCAAGGTTATTGAGTCTACAGGTGTTCTACAGAAACATATCAAACACATCTCAGTTTCAGCAGGGAAAAATAATTCAGGTGGAGCCTGTGGCTAAAGAGAGTTCAGATGTCCACAGGGTTTCATGGTAGGGATATGCCAGGGTTGCAGGCATACAGTTCTCGAGCCTGCCTCCAACCGCTTGCCATCTTCCATCACCTTTGACGTTCCTGCCCTCCTTGGTCTGTCAAACTCCACTTCTCTTGTGGGCACTCTCTAAGATTGTTCAAGTCAAACTGAAACAGGTCAGAAAAGACCGAGAGAGCTCTCAGCTCTGCTGAGACTAATTCAGGTTATTGTAACTAGGAAGGGCTGAGGAGGACACACTGGAGCAACAATACTACAGAAGCAGCAAGTTCTGATGGACAGCAGCACCTGGAGCAATTCACTTTTTTTGTATTATAGCTGTAGCTAGAGAAATGTGTGTCCACTGTCAAACTCTTCTTGTAATAGTCTCTGTGGACCATGACTATCCTACTAGCCCTTTGTTGCACATTTACTTCTTCAACATCTTTCTTGGCTATGGGTGATCATAGCCATGCATAGCCAGATGCAATCGTAATGAAGTCCTGCACAATGACATTAGTCTTTACTGTATATATCCATTCACATTTGCCCTTTGCGTGGCCTCATTGCATTGCGACACATGACAGACACTGAAATCCTTTCCTCTATTTCATTTCCAACTGATGAGGACTCAGTGCATGGCATTTTTTTCCCTTCAGTGCCTGCACATGAAAGCGTAAAGTAATAAGATGTCTGAAGCTGCTTTTTTTCTGGGCTAGGGATGGCATGCTAATAGTGGCTATCAAAGAGAAGACAAAAGACATCTGAAACAATGTGCAACTGTCTTTTTTCTCAGTGCCTTAATTTCACTTCTGTTTTCTGGCCTGGCAACAGATGAACAAGTCAAGCCATCTTCCTCTATTATATTTTATCCTGGCGGCCTCATATGATGGTATTAACAAAAGTCAGGGCAGAATGTCTGTCTCCATTACTGTGCTTAAATCTATGTCCATGGTACATGTAATTACACCTCTGTATACAAACCTTGTGTGGCTATATGCTTCTTATACATAAATATATATACACATATGCGTCTAATTTTTCTGGCTGAGGAAGCAGAGTAGCTCCCTGAGGCTTGAAAAAGAAAGCACTGAGGGACAGCAGCTGTAAATCCTGGAAAACTTTTAACAGCAGCCTGTATCTGAGACTAATAAAGTGTAATAGAAGGGCAGCAGAGCAAGCATGGAGGACAATATAGAAACTCTGATGGGATTCAGTGCTGGGATACTTATCTATCTGATTTCTAGACTACGTATGTGGAAGAGTAAGGTGTGTACTGATCCTGGTTCACTAAATGCACCGATTCTGATAAATAAAAATGTATCTTTTAAATCTGATCAGACTTCTTCTGGTAAGAAACCATGTCTTCATAATCTTGAGAGGCCAAGGTCAAGCTGCAGGTGCATGACCACCTACCTGAGATTCTCCTGTCACTGGAGCATCATTGTCCATCCTGAGCCAGCCATTCACCCCGTCTCTGAACAACATGACACTGTGCCAGTTCCCCAGCTTGATTTTGTTTTCACTTGTTATGACTGCAACTCCAGTGCCACAGTTGAACCTGGGAGCATGATACAGAGAGGGCACTGTGACAAAATTACATTAAGCAAATAACTGAAAGTTGTCTTTAGACTCCAAATAGTCCCTTTGCTCCTGGGAACCTCTGTGTTTCACATTGCATATTAGCAGACCACAGGAAAATTAGCCAGCAGGTCTATATATGACCTGTTCTAAGTTTCAAACTTCATTATCTGTCTTTTTACCAGGGAGAAGATTTTGCATCCTCTGGCCACACCAAGGGCATTGCAAAGCCTGCCAACAGCTGAAACTGTTTCAAGATGGAGGGTATTACAATCTGAGCTCCTGCTATCACAGTAATTCCTCTTGGGAATTTATCTAGCTCCCTGGTGAAAGCCAGTGCTACATTAATAACGCCACAATTCTATATGAAACTCAGTACTGATTGACAAGGAGACCTCCAGGAGAGTCTCTGTGGAGCTGAATGTGCACAAAACCTGCCATTTTCTCTGACTGCTGTCTGGTGTGGGTGAATAGAAACACAACTAAGGCCTATCACCCACTTTGTTACTCCCCACTTCCAGAGGACTCACCCTCCCAAGTAAGGAGATCCTTGAGATACTCTTTCACATGTTTCATATCTATGGGACTGCAAGAAACCCCATCCATCTTAATTTAAAAAGCTGCAACATCCATCTAAACAAGGGATATAAGATGAAGTTCCAGGGCCCCTGTTGGCATTAAATCCTTTATTTTGCTATGTTATCTGCAGGTTCTTTTGCTGTGAATGTGATACAGCATAAACTTAGCAAGTGCAGTGGCTCACTAGCACTTCTGGTAACATAGCAATGAGTCCCAGACTAATGCCTTCAAGAAAACTGATTATTTTGCCTTTGCACCAAGATCTGAATAAAAAGAGTTCAACAGGGCACATGTTCACTCACTAAAGAAGGATGAGAGAAAAAAAAAATATTGAAGAACTGTTAAATGAAGTAATAGTGTCTATTCTGTGCACTGCATGGGGCAGAAGTCAAAGACACGAAAGATATTCATCACATATAGCAAGTCTCAAGAGGCAGCAATGGCTCTTTCTCTTTACATCAGATTTAGGGTCGAGGTTTTACCTGAACTGGAGACTACGTCTGATGATTGCTAGTGACATAAAATCACCACGACCGTGTTCATTTTCTCCACAGTATAGCAGCAAACCATCTTCTGATTCAGCCTGCAATCACAGCATCAACATGAAAAATTAAAGTCTAAGCCTCACAGTGACAGATAAATGCAAGCAGCACTGGGATATTTCTCTCCAGAAAAGGGACAGCATTTTTCAGATGGAGTTTTTAATTTGTAGAATCAGAAATTGGTTAATCAGTTTTGGATACTGCATTTGAAGAACCTAGAAAAACATTGCCTTAATGCTTAAGTAGTTTAAGAACATCTCTTCTACTTACACTATGATACTATCAGACCTAAAAACAAGCCTGAAAGCATTAAAGACTGTCAGACATGTCCCATATGAGACCTCTGAGCACAAAGTCTAGCAAGGATGTCTGAGCAAGCCTGTTAAGTGTACACACATCAGACTTGCAGCACATGAATACACACACACCCTGCTTCATGTGTTGAGTGAGCCTGACTCTTTTCAAGCCAAACAACCTGCACAGGTAGGATTTCTCCATACATGCATAGCAGCTGACACAGTGGCTTTTCACATCCATCCTGCATTTTAAGCTGACAAATTGCCAGAGGAGTGTCAGATCACCACATGAGGCAACAGACTGTGGCTACTCTACTGAAAGCCTCACACCTAGTCTGGGATGCTGGCAAGTCTGCCTTTCGTGGGAGCAAGGGTGCATCCGAGAGCTCAGCCACCCTCCCTTACAGGCAGCTCCAGCCGTAACACACAGATGGCACTAACACAAGTCATTGTGGGATGTATGCTTCAGAACTGTAGTTAGAGTAGTCCGGTATCTTGTATGTATTAGTAGTCAGTGTCCCAAGCTTCAGAGGTGGAAATTAATGCCTACTTAAATCCTGCAGAATGGGAAAGGAACCCTGGATATAGGGCAGTATTTTGCGTAGTACAACAAGATCACAGTTTCTTATATGCAAAGATACTGCACGCCACTTCCAAACAGTAATTCACAAAATTCCAGGTGATCCTGTTGCTCATTCACATGGTTATAACCTTGCAAATGTACCTTGTCGTTAGTCTGCCATGCCAGTACTACTAGTCTGAGGGATTCTCTCATGCACTGCCTACCAATAATGGATGTAAACATTTTAGCTCATTTTACCTACTTCATTACCATTCATTGAAGGTGAAGTCAGGTCCTTAGAGATGAAGATTATGCACAGGTTCACTACAATTACATTATAAGCTACACTGAAACTAAGTTATTGTCCACATCATCAGAACAAGTGAATAAAATTCAAAGCTCCTATGTGAGCTTGGAATTTCTTAAACTTACCCTGAATTCAAGGGTAATTTGAAATGTCTGATAGGAGTTTTTCAGTGGTTCAAAAGTGATGTATGAGTAGCCAAAGAACTGAGGGTACTGGATAATAATATCTGAAAGACAGAAGCATGTTATTTAGCAGTTTTCTCCCTCATAAAAATCAAGATACACATTTAGCATGAGATAGCATCAAATGAAAATGCAAGGCAGGGTTCTTCCAGAGACAACCACTAGTCATCAGTAGTCAACAATCAGTTAACCTACTGCCTTGTTCTCCTACCCCCTTTCACAACTAATTCTTTTATTCCCAAGGACCTGGTGAACTTGGAAAGAAACAGGATACTGAGGGCCAAATACAGCTTGACAGTTTAATCACTGGCTTCAGTAGAACTTTCTCCAGATTTTCATCCCTGTTACAGAAGACAGAACCCATCTACTTTATATTTATCTCCTTTTAAGAATTCATTTAAAACAGAGGCAACAAAGTAATTTTCTGTTTTGCAGGACTATAAAAACATATGCGGGAAATGTGGCCAGACTCCACACTGCATTAGTCACTGCTGCTCCATAGCTGCTGTGTCCAGCATCCACAGAATCTTTGGATGGCTCACAAGAGCCCAGCAGCTTCCAGAGCTTCCCTCTGGTCAGATCAGGATAGAAGGTAAAGGGAGTGATGGGGAGAAGAAAGTCCTGCAGGCATCTCTGCATCCCTGGCTGCAACAGTGGCCCTTCATATTGCTCTTGTCAGCTGGCATTATCAATCCTCATCCTTTGTTGTCTTACGGTAGAGGACCATCCTGGCTTCAGCACAGAAAAAGAAAATCAGAGAGATGTCTTACTGATACCTTTGCAGCTCATTTTCCTAAGAAGCTCTGAGGAAAGACATAGGTTCAGGCCTGAATTCTTATTTTTGCAGTGGGTCTAAGTCTAATGAGGAAGGAAGGATAAGGAGTCTTATTCTCCTTTGCTATTTGAATACTGAGTAGGTTTTCCTTGCATATTTGTATCTGGATACACAGCTCTCAGCTTTTTTGTTTGCAAGGCATATATTTTAGGCTGAGGTGAAGAGAACCAGTGCTATAAACCTGAATGCAACCGCAGCAGACAGCAATTAGCTCATATCCTGATCACAAGCAGAACTGACTGGACCAGAGTGCCATGCAGCTGTTGGCTGTAAATAAAAGTCTGTTTTCATTCAGATTAATAACTATTTAACAATATTGGCTGCTGTGGAGAAATTCAGTACAAGGGAATATTGGTACAGGATGCTACTGCTTACCAAGGAATAACACACTCCCTTGTGAAAAATGGTGGTTTTGGACTAACGTTAACAAACTCAGTCCACAAGTTGTGTACAGTTATGTCAGTTCAAATAAACCCTCAACTTTTCATACTTGATCAAGGCCCAAAATCACATCTGCAGCTGTTCCATGTGGCTGAGCCACAACAAACTCTTTTTAGAATGAGCTCTCTTTACTCCAGCACCAGGAGGAGAAAATCAAACACACTCAGTGTCTGTATGCCTGATGCACCGTGCTGTACATCACAAATGTCTAAACAAGCCTGCAGAAGAAACATGTGTCCCTGATGCTCTGCTGTGTGGCAGGGCCTTGACAGATTAGATGAGCATGCAGAGGGATGGATCAGCTCTTTCTTAGTTAGTGTGACAGCACCGCTACAAGAAATCAGACACTTGCTTTGCACAAGCTCTGGCATTCATCTGACCGTTTGGTCACTAAATCAGAAGAAAAATAACTCTGGGGGGGGGAAAAGTGACCTGCTTATGGCCTGGTGAGTGAGTTGGACTGGCTATCTGGGTGATGGGCTCAACAACAGACTCAGAGAAAGGGCAAGGCTAGGTCTGCAGAGGGGGAAGATAGGAAGGTGGCAAGTGAAGGAGAAGGAGGACAGTCTCCTTCAGCTCAGCAAGCTCTTGCCCTGGCTGAGCTTCCCTGCAGAGAGGTGAGAGGATGCATGGCAAGTCCTGACAACCACACTTCCTCACATTGACCCCTTCTGAACTGAGGAGCGGGTCTCGTTCCTCCCCTGCCCCAGACTGCCTGACATGAGTGCTGTGGCCACCACTCTAGCATTTCTGCCCTATAGACCACAGGGAAAGCCTCCTCTGGAGATGGTTTTACAATGGGAGCTCTGTCTCACATCCCTGCTTCAGTATCAGCATCATCTGATGGACCACACTGGAAATGCAGATGGTTCAGGGCTTCAGCTGCAGGCAAAAGGCAAGGGTCAACAAAGGGCTGAATGTCCCTGCTGGAAGCTGTGGATGTCATGACTGGACCCTGTCAGACCTGTGTGCCTACCAACATACCTGGTTCCACCACCTTCCCACTCTTAGGTGGTGGAAAGAGGATTAACTTCCCTTGTGCACCTTCACATGGGGTCCGCATTCAGCTTTATTAAAGAATAACTTCTTCACACGTAGCAAAGAGGCCAACATCTGAACTGGGACATGGAAAATGCTGCTGTCCTTAGGGATCCATTTTGGCCAGCCAGCTATTCCCAAAATGCACTTTAGCTGGTTCATCACGGAGCTGCTCCTGACTCTGAAGAGAAGCCAGCAGCGGTGGGCACGCAGAAACCTACCTTCTGCACAGGTCTCTCCTCCTTTTCCCAAGTTGCAGTGGCAGCGTGAGCCACCACGGTCATAGTCATTGACGCAAAAGCTGTCTGCAGAACAGATGGTCTCATCACAGGAGAGATCAAAGAGGCGTGTTGCAGAAGACATGCCACCCCTCCTTGCTGCCCAAGCCGTAGTCTCCCTCTCTGTGATTGAAGACTGTGTCGTGGTGGGAGTAGAAGTAGTGGCTTCAGACGTGGTTGTAAGGACCCGTGACAGGAGCCTGGAACTAGACCCTGGTGTGACCTTAGTTTCAACCAGAAATTTTCTGTTGCCTCCTTTGATAGCAGGAAGCGGTCTGAGCTGAAAGGAAATAAAGAAACACAAATTCAGTAAAACCTAAAATGCTACATGGAAATGAAATTGATGCCTCCCAAGACAGGGATGTGAAACAGTAAATTCATCCACACCATAGAAAAAGAAACAACCATATTATTATGTCCAAGCAAATAATATCCTATAGTAAACTTCCTGACAAGATCAGACACCTTAAAGTATTGATGTTATAAAGAAAACACAAATGCCAAAGTGGAATCTTGAAATTTACCTCTTCTATGTAAATGTCGTAGTCTGAATCATCGATATCAAATCCATCATCATCACCAGTCACTGTGTCTGTAATATACCGATGCCCATAGCTTCCACTTCCTAACTCCTCAGAGCCTAAAAAGACACAACCAGCACATTCAGTTCATATATTTTTTTTCTCTTTACACACAGCAACTCAGATCTTACCATACTGAAATCTGAAGTGGTGTTAATGTTAATCCTGTACAGTTAATGAAACTGTCAGCCTGAAGATAAGAGACACTGTTCAAGAAATACACATGCAACTTAAAACAAAGTGTAGACCTTAATTTAGTCACTTACTGTGATTCCTAAACAAAGCAGGCAAAGCCGAGGTCTCCCACTGCAAACTGACTTTTATCCATCATTCTTCCAGGAGAACAGTTCTGAACTTCCTTGGCATGGACAACATTTTAATAACTCTACTGTTTTTAGATCAAACTTTTCCCTTTTGTAAATACATAGTCCTGTATGTGCCCTACTGGTGACCAGATAACTGGAACAGCAGAAGAGATGCATCTAGGTAGGGCTTTTCTGGCACACTCTGCTTACAATTTTATCTGCTTCCACTGCCTCCAATGCTCCTGATGTTACCATCCTAAGCATATTTTTAGGCTATTTTTAAAAACACAATTCAGCACCTCAAAAAAAGAAAAGTGCACAAACATCATGTGTTTTTCATGTGCATAATTGCTCCTGCCTCTCCCTGGAGTGCTGAACCATGCTGTGAAGGACTCCAGGCTGGGAGCAGGAAGAGGGTCCTCATAGAACATATCTGTGTTATTTTGCACTTAACATAGCAAATTCTGCTTAAACAATGGTTTACGCTTTTTAGCTATTAAAATTTACCAGAAGTCATGAAGAAAGATAATACAGGTAACTGTATCAATATCGCTACTTGTCATTTCATCAAGGTTAAGAATAGACAAACAATTGATAACCATTAAAACAACAAACTGCATACATTTACCTTTTCCATAAAATTTCCATAAAATCCTTTACGGTCACTTAAAAACAGCACAGGTAATCCCTGTTTTACAAAGCCTCTGTACAGGCTGACCAGGTGTGCTTGTTTATTTTAGCAGCCACAAGCAGCCCATATTTTCTCATAAATTAGCAGGTCCTTCACATTGCAACATGCAGAGATGCAAAGTCTTGCTGGGCAGTGGCTGTCTGTGGAAAAGAGACCTGACAAGCCAGAAAATGCCACTTGATGGTAGTGAGGGCTTCACTACCACCACTGAACAACTCAATGGAGCCAGCCAAAGCTAACAAGGCTCAGCAGACTTTCAGAGGGAGCAATGTGGGCACAGTGCTATAGGGCTTTTTTGAGCCAGTCTAACTGGGGTCAGACATCTCCCACCTTGGTGGAGTATAAAGGAAAAATATCTCACTGACTTGATTCAGGCAGGAGAGTGCTTGTCTAAGTCTTATTGTACTCTCTCTTCCTTTGCCGTGACTTTAACCCAGAAATCCTGGCAGATAGTTACGAAATTAAGCATATGTGCACCAGATACAAATGCGTGCCCTGGCTGGCTAATTGGCCGCCCACCACGTGCTCAGTGGGAATCACTTACCAACGGGCTTTACATGTTACATCAGCATACAGAAAAATCAGAGACAAATGAGTAGAGGTAATGAGGCATACACATTTGCAGCCGAAACAACAATGCTAGGCTGGGAGAGAACATGTATAAACCTTTCTACTCTAACATGTATACCTAATAATCTGTAAATAATACAAGTTAACTGTATATGAAACATAATTATTCAGCACAGAATTCTACCAACTGAGCTAAGCAGAGCACTCATAGCTTTATGACTGGTAATAAGAGGCCAACTGGACAAACTACATCCAGATTACTTCTGCTGGTGACTGCAAAGGCATAGGCATAGGATTACTATTGGAGGAATAGACTTTATATTTATGAACTGGTCTCAGTCCTGCATTCATTACAGAAAACAACAGATACTATCAAAATGTGGGCAAAACCTCTTACTCACAGTATTCATTTCCAACTGCAAGGTCAACCTCTTCCCTCCATCACTGCATCAGAATCTCCTTCTTTGGCAACAATGATTTTATATGACATACATTTTTACAAAAGAATTTCAGTGTGCAAAACCTCAAACATAAAAATTATAAATGTGACTCGGAGTTTAACAGAAATTCTATGAACAAAGCAGAGCCCAACACTAACTGAGCTCCAAGCAGATGCAACAACTTTAAGCTCACTAGTATACCGTTGCTTTTAAGTCAGGTCTGTAATATTACTTATCGCCTTTATACTTATTTCAGAACTAATTTAGTTCTTCTAATGGATGAAACTGTAACTTATCTAAGAGTAACAGAAGCCATAAAGCTAAACTGGGAAAAGGAAAGGAAAAATCACGACCATGTGTCAAGGAAAATAATCTAATCTGTATTCAAACAAGCAGTGATACACAGAATTCATTTTCTAATTTAGAGGTCACAAGCTACAAAATAAACATCTGTTGTGGGCAAAATTCTGACACATTTTTTCTCTTCTCAACTGAACTTTCTGTTGACTTAATAGGTTTTAAGTTGAATAAGGATGGCAGGAGTGAAGTATCTTGAATTAACATGCAGATATGCACACTTGCTTAGATGTATAGATATTACTTTAATGCCACGCCAGTTTTACTGAAGTGTAACTCTCCTGATTTGAGTGAAGCTATCACAAAACTACATCAATAGCCACCAGCATGCAATAAGACCTACTAACTTAGGAGAGACAGGCAATTCCCCAAGCAGAAGGTGTGCCTCTTCCATCTGGCAGACAAAAATATGCCATGCTTTTCCAACAGAAGATGTTAGGAGATGACCTGTACCCACTATTTTAAACCAGAGTGTGACTCCTTTCACCTTATTGAACTAGTACAACATTTAGAGCCTGGAGACAGCAAAGAAGGTACAGCTTATTGTGGCTGGTAGAAAAGACTGCTTTGAGGCCCCTCTTCAAAGACCTTCAGGGCGTTAAGTTTGGTATCTCCAGGAAAAGTATAACTTTGGAAGGTGTCATAATATCCACAGGTCTCTAATATGGCCCCAGATCTCTGCTATCACTCCCCCTCACTCCGAGTTTCAGACAGCACATGGTACATTACTCTACCTGCTGATCCATGAGCAGTTTTTGGTAACGCGTAACGCAGCTGGGAGAAATGAAGACATGGAGACATACTCTCTTCTAACTATGCCTCAATTTATACAGATGAGTACACACACAAATTATGAGACCATCTAACAGCCCACTGGCTTCTCAGTTGCCTTGCTCTGCCTTGTTTGGTGTTTGGATGTGACATGATACCCACATGTGATGTGATTCAACAGAACTGCAAAACAGGAGAGAAGCTAACACAACTTTGTAAAGAAAACCCCATGTGAGCCCAAGTCTTAAGAGCACTGTGTATCTTTGGTGGAGAGCTCATCTCATAATGAGTGGCAAATCAAGGACAATTAAGTGAAGTGGTACTCTGCAAATACCAAAACAATGGCTACAGAGATTATAAGTATGCTATATTTAATCAAATCAGTGTTTCAGTGCCCAAGGAGATGAAACCCATTTAAGTTCCTTTACGAGGTCCCATAATCCCGTTTTATAATTAATTGGAAAACCTGTGGGGGGTCATGAACTTTAGACAGCTTCTTTCCAAATAATCAGGGATTAAGTTATACCAAAGAAATATTTCTCAAAACAAACAGAAAGCCACACAAACTTTTGTTTTGCTGATTAGATGGCCACCAGCACACCTATCAGGAGATACGGGAGGGTGTAGGAGGCAGACCACTGGGCACTGCAACACAGGCAGATTGAATGCAACTGTTAACAGACTGATCACCTTCTTGCAGAACCCCTCATGGGTCTAAATCCAATATACACCAGGGGCATTTTAATCTGAGTTTTATTCTTGTCAGTGACCTACAGTGAGACACTGCATATTGCTTAGCCTGTCTCTTGCTTTTTGTCCCTGTCTGTATTAATATGAACACTGCCTTTGTAAAGCCTTTGGAGATCTGTGGGAAACAATTCTGTGGAAAACCTCTGTTTGCTATCTCCAAGACACATCACCATCGTTTGCATCAAGGTTTGGGCCCAAGGGACTGCCCTTTTCCTGTGCCTGAGCCTCAGCAGACATATTCAAGCACCACGCAGAATATTTAAGCCCCTGTGGCAATGCCTTACTCAGTATGAATGTGGCGGTGACAGCCAGGACCAGAGGAAGGGATGTACCCAGATTAAGCAGCCACTTCTGTCACGTTTGCTGTAGAGAGAAGCAGGAGGGTATTTTTAACAGAAGACGCTTCCTCTGTCAGTCTGGCAAAGCCCAAGGCTGGTGACCTTCCAGGCACAGTGCAAACCCCATCTGTTTCCCCTGGCAATGAAGGGTATTTAAGCGATGCAGGTGATGACACTTTGTTTGTTTGATTCTTTGGGACAGTTTATTTTGTTGTTACTAAACCTGATACGTGAAACCTTTTTTTTCCAAGTAAATTGTCCATGACACATTGAAAGATTTGATACAGCAAAAAAACCCAACTATATAAGTGAAATAACTGCAACCTGCATCTGCAATTAAGAAAGACAACAAAAATTGATTTATTACATAATTTCCCTCTTGAAAAAAAATGAAACCAAATCACAAATAAATGAGAACCCTTGGGGAAACTTGCCCTCTCTTTCCTCCCTGAAAATGGAGAATGTAACATAAACCAAACATACATTTTTCACTAGGTAAGGGGGAAACTGCTTATAATCAAGGCCACATGTTCTACTTGCACAGACCTTGGGAGGTCTGCCACATCAGGTGATACTGTCAGCAACCCTTCAGAGGAACATTTTAGCAAAGACGACAGTTTCCTATGCTGACCTGAAACAATGCAGTCAAGAGTACTGCAAAGCCAGTCACCTTTGAAAACCAAAATGAGAGAATTACCTGTGAGAATGAGATATAGCCCATGAGAAAATATCCCCAAGTAGCGTGGACTCAGTGTCTGCAGGACTCACCTCTGTCTCAGCCTGTCTAGAACTGCAAGAGACCCTGTGCAATACAACATGGATCCTGAAGGTCCACAGTATTTGACGTAATGCTGGAAATTTGTCTTTCAGTTAAAATAAGCATCAGGAAAGTACTAATTATTGCAAAACAAGTATAAAAATCCAGGATATACAAGCACAAAGCCACATTTTTTTTTTTAAATCCAAACACACCAAGGACCTTAGTGCTAGCACTATGTGGATTAAGTGTAAGGCAAAGGAGACAGACATTGTATGGACTCTGCCAACTTCCTAAGATATTTCAGGTATTTCTGAGGAATATACAGGCACTCAGAAAATAGCATAAAATATCTGTGGCATGTTTAACTGTTTACATGGGAGGAGGCACCATTTTAAAAATAAAGGTAGTAATTCCTACAATGTGCACCCCAAAGAGCAGAGGTGCATAATTTTCAGACATGCTAACTGTCTGACACCCTTCCAGCACTCATAGGTGACTAAGAGGTATCTGCTGGCACTTTGCAGGATTCAAGCATCTGGTGCCATCTGAGACACATTACGGTACCTGAGACATCCCCAGAGGACTGCCAAGTGACTGGGAGATGCGCGTGAGAAATATGCCCTCCTGCAGTGACAGCTGAAAACCACAGGACCTAGGGGACCTCAAATGCACCGAATGTCTATACCTGAGCAACTAAAGTAAAAGATTAACTGGGCCAAGGAAGGTAACCATTGGCTTTCTGGATACTACAAAGGGAAAGTACCTGAAGATACATCATGTGAACTAGGATTAAGTTCTAGGCGGTTACCCTTAAACTTAGCATGCTTTTTTTTTTTTTGTGACATTTAACTTGCCAGTAGTTTAAATCACTTTTCAGAGTTTTTTAGTGTTTTGATGAAAAATAAATGTTCAGGAAGTGTTCAGGCTATGCATGGCTTTAATCAAGAAATTTTTTCAGAACAGAAGTTTAGCTTTTCTACTAATGCACAATGTAATTGTGTATCTGGTTAACATCAACTAGTTTCTTCCACAGACATCACCACTAAAGCCAAGTGAGAACTGCTATACTCAGTTACACTTCTGTTTCCAGAAAGACACAGGACTTACTTCCAAAGGCATGCATCCTTTGCTGCCTTTGAACACCACTCCTTGCTCTGCAAAAACCTGATTATTATGAAGACGGATATCCACAAGATAACGCAGGCTTTCATGGATAGTGGCTATATGTTGTTTTTAAGCCTATTTTCAAAATCCTCCCTGGAAACTAAGAGCAGACTGGCAAAGGAACCACATTTGCATTTACCAAAGGACCCAGAGTTTGCTAGCTTAGCCTTACATACAAGCGACCCTAGTGCGGGGCTGGAGCACATCACAGACATGACATGGCTCCGGGCTGCAGGAGTTCTGCCTGTTCATGAGGGTCTCCCTCAAACCCAGCCAGCCCCTTTGTGCAGGGAGACCAACCTCTCAGCCACAGCAGCACCCATGTGCCTACCATCGACAGGCACAGAGTTTTTGAGCCTATTCAGAGAGCAGTGCAACATGCACAATACATCTACTTTCTAGATCTGATCCAGGCACAGAGAGTCAAGCTCATGTTCCCTAGGAACCTCTCCAGAAATCAGTGTTTATGTATACAGAGTGTGAATTTGATAACAGAGGGGAAAAAAGAATGGAAACTTCCATGTAAGAGTCAATGAAAACAAGGGATTCCAAGACAGGGAGGCAATTTAGAAATAAATCCTTAGCGGGTTAAATTGGTGGATCACTAAGGATGTTTCTGCAGCATGCAATTCTTCTTGCAGATCTCACAGTCCTACCTGAATATCAGCTGCTTATTTTCTACCAGTTAATTAAAAATGATCTGCAATTGAGTGTGTAGGTGAGAAATGAAGAAAACATCAGTTTTGTGGCTCCTTTTTATAGCTCATTAATCTGCTAAAATATATCCAGGCATTTTTCCTGCATGGTATTCTGTCCTCTATAAATGCCTTCAAAACCAGAACCTAAAAGCACCGAGACCTTCTAAAGACAATAAAAAGGTTGGCACATTAAGGATATAGCTCAGTTAGTCCCCATACCCTGACAGCCTTGGCTCTGCTTCCTGCATCCACTCTGTGACTGTGGGTTCATTGCATGAGGGGGCTGGTTCTGGTAGTGGGGGAAGGGGCTACGGTGATGGCCCCTGCGAGAAGCTTCACGAAGCTCCCCTGGTTCCGAGGAAGACCCACCTCCAGCCCAGGCTGAGCCAATTAGCAATAGGGAAATGCCTCTTTGAATCCATATTTATGAGGGAAAAACTGGTTTTGAAAAGAGACAATCCTAAGGAGAGGCCATCGATCTGAACAAAAGACGACCATCAGCCTAAACTAGGAGGAGAGCATCCTGGAACAGAAAGCCAAGCCCAAGGGCAGTTGTAACTAAATTGAGACACTGGAGGCATGCAGTGCCAGAGGGAAGGGTGGGGGGGAACGATGTGGGGCGGACCCCCCAAGCCAAGGAAGGATGGAGGAGCTGTGCTGGACCAGAGGCCTGTCTGCAGCCTACAGACATCCCCATGCTGGAGCTGGGAGCTGTGCCCGAAGAAGTCCATGACACTTTGTTTCTGGACTTTAGTATCCCCCAGGAGACACTCCATGCTGGAAAGAGCGACATAGATAAACTGACTGCAACTCCCATTCCCTTTCCCCTGTGTTCCTGGTGGGGAGAAGGTAGAGAAATCGGGAGCAAAGTGATTTGAGCCCAAGAAGAAGGGAGAGGTGGGGGAAGGTGCCTTAGGATGTAGTTGTTATGTCTCATTGTGCTACTCTGATTGGTAACAAATTAAAGTGATTTTTCTTCCCCAAGTTGAGTGTGTTTTGCCTGTGCCCATAATTGGTGAGTGAGCCATCTCTGTCCTCATTTCAATGCAGGAGCCCTTTGCTGTATTCCTCTTCCCATCTCAATGCGGTGGCAGGGCAGGGGTGGAAGTGAGTGCAAGACCACATGGTCTTAGCTGTGGGTGAAACCACCACAGCGATACTGGATTTTCCACTGTGCGAGAAATGTGATTTGTACAATTCCCATGGTCTGTGTTGGTTTGGTTGAGATTCTCACATACAGCTATGACTTTGAGGGTGATGAGGAGCAACAGCACCTCAAAGTCAGCCCACAGAAACACTAGTACTGACAGAGGATTGTACCCCGAGGAAGGTCATCAGGAGACATGCACAGGACCTATGCCTTATTGCAATGTGCATGATGTACATTGCTACACAAATGTGAAAATAATTGTTAACAAGTTGTGATTATTCAAGTACGTTTGAATGCATTTTTACCTAATATTTTTGCTATGCAGCTTCTGATCAAAAAGGGTTGCTTACTTGTTTATATTATTATTTTCATTACTGTGCTTTACTCCTCAGAAAACAGTATACATTTGCTTTGGTCTTTCCAAGTTGTTTAAATTAGAAATGTAATAAACACAGTTGAGTTTCAAAGAACAGAAAAAAGCATTAATAACAGACTTATCTCTCTCATTTCTCCCCATGACAGCCACTTATCAGTGTGCATGAAGCCAGCAAAAAATTCAGGACGTAGCAATCCAAGAATATCTGGCAATGACCTCCAGAACAGAGAAATGGTATGAGAGCACTTCTGCCTTGAGCTTTTAAAATCCTTGTGACTTGACTTTTACAGGATGCTGCAAGCTCCACGGACAGGACTGAGAGGTGTCAGACTGGGGGTGCCTGTGCTTGGAGAGCTACTCTTTCCACCAGCAGACCTCCACAGGCTAGCCCAGATACACTTTATTTACAGATACACTTTGTTTTCATATTGCTTTATTTACCAAAAGGTGGTTCTACTCACTGAACGTTCGGATGATGTCGCTCGGTGCACTGGCGGGGCTGGATCCATGGGAGTTTGCTGCTCGGACCGCAAACTGATATTTGGTATTTGGGAGAAGTCCCTTGAGAACCATGGATTCCATCTGGATCTGTTCTCTTATTACTGTCCAATTGCTGTCAAGGTCTGGCCTTCAGGATCAAACAAAGCCAAGATCATAAATAATTAAAAATGGCTATAATTTAAAAATTAATTGCCTTTAAACTTTCCTGAGAAATAAAATGAGATATAAGGCTACTAACTCATCACTGAAATCCTTCAGTCTTAAGGGGTCAGACTGCGCAACCATTACTAAGCCACAAAGCCTGTGATATCAAAACTATACAGTGATAGAAAAACAATATTCTGGTTGTTTAGACAACAGTTTGACAAATCAAGTTCTATTTATCCATTATCATGGATTTGGGGTTCACAGTTTTGAAGTGGAGGTTTATTACTAGCAGTTGCAGATCCTGTATTTGGCTGTATAAAGCAATACTTTGCAATAGAGGAAAAAATCCTGATTTATTTCTAAGAGTTTGTGCTCTAATGCCACTAAGTCCCTTCAGCATATACAAGCATTAACAGGATGAGAATCTAACATTTGTTCTCCCAGGCAATCAGGTTAATCCACTCACACTGGAAAATCTGGATCCAAAGTCTTCTCTTCAGAAAAAAAAAAAAAAAACAACAAAAAACCAAAAACTAACCAACAAAACAAAACAGAACAATAATATAGAGAACCTGGCCTACATATGTGGATTTTGTAACAAAATTCCCACATCTGCCTTTGGACAATAACTGGTTAACTCCTGACTCATACTGGAAGCGAACTGCCAATAAACGCTTGTTCTAAGTGTGTTATAATCCATCTGAAACCAGTGCTATCATTCACATGGCAGTCTGGTCTCAAATGTTTACACTCGTATGCGGAGGAACATCGGAAACGGGAGGGCTACTTCAAATACTTTGACAGAGTATTCTGATGCTTTCACACTATTTCTACTCTTTCTAAAAGTGGTCTCTTCTCAAAAAAGAGAGAACTGAATGAGAACATAAACAAACACAAACAAAATGAAAATGTAAGTGTTAAGTCTAGGCCACCCAAAATATACAAATTGAAGCTCATGAAAGTAAAATAGGGACAGAAATGACTTTCAGAGAAAATTATTCCAGTGTCCTTTTCAAAGATGTCCTTGTGATATTTATTACAGGAAATAACCTCCAAGTGCTCCCTGAATCTACCAGTGTTTACACAGGACTAGCTGCAAATGTCTTCCAATGAAAATTATAGCACATGGCAGGCATTTTCTATTTGCTTATTTGCAGCTGGACGGAAATGCCAAAGTTAATATATGTTTTCTTCTACCAGTCAATACAATATTTATTGATCACTGAGGTTTCATTGTTTTGTGCCAGCAGGGCCAACACAGTGACAGAGCAGCAGCTCCCAGCTGCCTGGCTCCTGTGCGCAATGGGTGTGAATATTCTGTTGTCTTGCTAAAAATAAAAATAAAATCAGACAAACGCACAAAATGCAGTGACAGCTAAACAGACCATCTTAAGTCACCCTCCACCACCATTTCCTGGCAGACAGGAGGGCATTTATTTTGGCTACTCTTTTGTTTCCCTTCTCTGAGCCCGGGCCAAAATGAAAATGCATAGTGTTTTCCAAATGAAAGCTGTTAACATTGCTTCCTTCCACATGCTTGCTTAGTAGTGTTTTCAATTTTCCTGTACACATCTTTTTTGGCTCTAATTCCAGTCCAAGGAATTCCTGCTAGCTCAAGAGCTGCCTCACTGTCTCTCTGCAACAGACCCAGCTGACATCTGCCCAATGGAAACAAACTCTGAGGAAGGGACCCAAGGGAGGTATTGCACCCTACCAAAATTTAGGAGATAACACAAACCGTAGGCTAGCCTTCAACTTCACTGACTGTCTTTCACAAGACATCCTTCTGCAGAAGTGAGTAATAAAGGAAATGCCTGCA